GGTAAATTTATACTGGATACGTGAAAATCATGCTCAAAAACCACAAAAACTAAATGTATGCTTGAGTGTAATGGGTAATCAGTTAATTGGGCTGTTTTTATAGAAGTAAATTTAACAAGTGATAATTAAGAAATTCTAGTTAGAAATAAAATTATACCTGTCCTGAAAAACAAGTTTGGAATTAACTTTAATGAGATATGATTTCTGCAAGACGAAGCTTCAGCCCATTTTGGTGCATATGTTCGGCGTTCTTTAGATCAGACATTTCCCACACGATGGATTAATAAATTAGGTCGTATTGAATGGTTTCCTCGTTCACCTGATTTAAATTAAATATTATTTTTATTGGGGATACTTGAAAAGTAAAATTTATAAAATTAAACCAGCCAGTGTTGCAAAGCTAAGGCAAAGGATGATGATGAAACCATATTAATTTCTAGCGAAACATGGAGAAATGTAATAGATGCATTCTACCACCGTTTAGCGGGAGTTACCATTAACGGAAAATTAATTAACAACTTACAATATGCAGATAACACTGTGATCATAGCAACGAGTATAGGACATCTACATCTTATCGAAAGCTTAAGTATGAATAGTGCTGAGATGAGAATTAGTTCAAACGCTAAAAAACGAAGTACATGCTAATTACAAAAAGACCACAAAATATACATCACCTATTGACAATCAATGGCAACGTGATAGAACAAGTAGAAAAATATCAGTACTTGGGAACTTTGATCAATGAAACCAAAAATTATACTGCAGAAATAAATAGGCGAATGGAGATTGCCAGATCAGCATTTATACGAATGAAGCCACTCCTAACTTGTAAAAATCTGATTTTGGAGATCAGACCTCGTACCATTCGATGTTATATATTTTCAATATTATTATATGGAGCTGAGATTAGGCCACGTGATGAGGGGACCAAAATATGAAATTTTGATACAGGGAAAGATTCAAGGAAGATCTGTTTGCCGAAGGCAAAACTCATGGTTAAACTACGTAATTGGTATCAATATAGATCGATTGATTTATTTAGAGCAGCAGGTACAAAAATAAAAATAGTCATTATGATTGCCAGCCTCCGTAGGGAGACAACACTCTAAGAAGAAAGACCACCGTTTAGCATACTGTCAAATTAACAACGGAGCACATTTTTAACACTAGATTAGGTAGACAATTATTTTAGCGATGTAGTAAACTTTTAATTATTATGTTCACATTTAGTTGTGTTGAGTATTGAGACGATTAGGCGTTTGGTTATATATTTTAAAGATGTTCCTAAGCATAAAATCAAAAGCATTGTAAAAAATTAAGTTGGTATTGAAATGGAGATTAAAATGATAATCCAATATATAGAATGTTATATTTAAAAAACCAAAGTGACTAATGACACAGAATAATAAAAAATCAGAATGCCCACTCTCCATGGAAAATTAAGTACGCGCATCTCCAGGTTAGATATTTATGAAGAACTTTTAGAATTTTATAACCAAGTATTGTCAGAAAATATTAATATTATCATATTTGGAGATTTTAATATTCCTGGATTTATTAACTTAAGTTGTGAAAAGAGCAGCATGCTCAAAGAATTTTAAAATCTAAACAATTTAAATCAATATAATACAATTTCAAATTGTAAAAATAAACTGCTTGATCTTATACTGTCAAACATATCCATAACCAATCTAACTAGGTCTGGGTCTCCTTTGGTACCTGAAGATTATTATCACCCGGCACTAGAAATGTTACTAGAATATAAAGATAATTCATACACTAAGAGTAATATACAACAGTCTTATAGGTATGATTATGCCAGGGGGGACTTTAATCTCCTGTATCAATTAATAAGAGACACTGACTGGTCAGATATGTTTAATTGTATAACTGCTTGAGATTGTATTAATCAATTTTTACGATAAATTGTATGACTGCATTGATCAAGCCATCCCAAAGAAAATTATTAAAAATAGACAAAACCAGAAATATCCAGCTTATTTTAGTATAGACCTTATTCAAAAAATCAGACAAAAAAACAAATTAAGCAAACGTATAAAAATAAGGAAAGCTAGTGCTGTCGATAACAATAAGTTCAGGAGTCTTAGAAATACTATTAAAAAGCAAATTAAAAATGAATTTTTGCAGCATCAAAATAATATTGAAGATAACATTTTGCATGACCCAAATAGTTTTTGGACATTCATAAGAAGTAGGAGACAAACCAACGGTTTTCCTCACGAGATGTCTTTAAATGATCATACCTATACAGGCCCTCAGGATATTGCCATGGCTTTCTCTCATCATTTTAGCTCAATTTATCAGGTATCATCTACACATCAGGGTAGTTCACAGGGATCTTTTAACTTTTCAGTTATTAGTGAAGAAGATGTGAAGGTTAGTATAAAAAAATTAAAGCCAAAAAAGGCCACTGGTAGTGATAATATCCCTGCCTATATCTTTAAAGGATGTTCTGATATATTTCAAAAACCATTATCACATCTATTTAATCTATCTCTTAAAACTAACACCTTTCCAGACAAACTCAAAGAGGCTACCATTACTCCAGTTTTTAAATTAGGTAATAAAAACAATATAGAAGACTATCGTCCTATAAGTATCCTTAATTCCCTGGCTAAAATATTTGAATCTATTCTCTATATGAATATACTGAAAAATTTTGAAAATGAATTTGCTCCAGAACAACATGGTTTTTTGCCTGGGTTATCTACAACTAGTAATCTGTGCATTCTTTCTAATTTTGCTAGGGAGGCAATAAATAATAAACTCCAATTAGATTTAATAATGACTGACTGCTCAAAGGCATTTGATATGGTTGACCATGGCATTCTTTTATCGAGATTGAATAAGTTTGGTTTTTCGCATGATGCTTGTACATTTATAAAATCGTATGTGGAATCAAGGTTTCAACGAGTCAAAATTGGTAGGTGCTTATCAGATAAATTTCAGGCTACATCTGGTGTCCCCCAAGGGAGCTACCCTTTGTTTTTCTTAATTTTTGTCAACTCACTACCACAATCTCTTAAATTTTCTTCTAGTCTGATCTATGCTGATGATTTTAAGCTTTTTAAGACTATACATACTTCAAATGATTGTCAGTTACTACAGGAGGACCTGACCTCAGTTGTGGAATGGTTTCGGGACAACAATATGATCTTAAATATTACGAAGTGTGGAGTCATATCCTTCACTCGCAAAATTGAATTCATTGAAAATAATTATAGAATTGACAATTGTGTAGTATCTAGGAAAACCAAATGTAAACTAGGAATATACCTACAGGCTAACATGAAATTTAATGAACACTATATAAATATTGTTAATAAGGCCTACAAAATATTGGGATTTGTAATAAGAAATTCTAAACACTTTAGTATAAACACAACTATTAGACTATATAACGCTTTAGTCAGACCAAACTTGGAATATGCATCAGTGGTATGGACTCCTGAAGTCAAAGTTCATATTAATCATATAGAAAAGGTACAAAAAAGATTCCTAAGGTATTTATACCTTAAGAAATACAATGTGTATACTCACCTTACGCCATCAAAAAAGTTGCTTCAAATATTTGGCTTGCAGTCATTAGAGCAAAGAAGAAACATGTATTGCGTTGTGTTTGTTCATAATATCATTAACAATGTTAAATATAAGACATGTGGTTTGATAAACTTTATTAGGTTTCATGTGCCAAAGGTCAACCTAAGGGTAAACAGTAATGACCTATTTTCTTGTAGTCCTTATAATTCAGGTGCAATAATAAACTATATGCAATATCAGTGCAATGAGTTAATAAAGATCTGTGATATAGACCTCTTTACCTGTAGTGTAAGGGATATTAAAAAATGTTATAAATAAGTATGATAAGTAATGGACTAAATTTCTAATATTTTATTAACTTGTGGCTTTTTATTAATGTGTATTATTTTGTGTGTTTTTATTTTGTACTTGTGTGTATATTGTATTTTTTGTGTGTATATTGGTATACCAAGTAATGAGCACTCTTACATGTAATTACTACCTAGGTGGTGTTTGTAAGTTTTAATAAATAAATAAATAAATCTCCTTCGCGCAGACGTTCCGCCATGTTTTAGAGGGCACCAGTGTTGTTTATGTGGTGTACTTTAAAAAAATTAATCCGGTTTAATTGACTTACGGCAATCATAGACATACTATACAATTATATTAATATTGTTAAATATAATAACATAAATATAATATAATTAAACATAAATATAAACAATTACATAACCTCACAAATCATTTGTCTGTGTCACAGTCTGTGTTATGTGTTTCCTTCTAAAACATGGCGCGCGTGCTGAAAAACTTCAAAGGCGGCATCTGAGAGTGGACATTCTGATTGTTTATTATTCTGTGCTAATGATATCGAAAAAATGTAAATCTGGCAACGTTACAAACACCAATTTTCAAATTTTCATATTTCAAAATTTGTGTATCCCTGTTTTTGTATGATTCAAATCATCCATATAAGAGATAATTGGAATCCATATAATAATAGAAGCTCAAATATCAGTCTTGGAGTCCTATAAGTTAAACGGTTAATATTATTTATGAATATTACTTGACCCTTTTTCCACTTAATCAATCATATTCGCGATCGTTTTGTGTAAAAATTTAGTTAAACCTGTACAAATGGCAACGCCGGTCCTGAAAAGATACGTCTAATATTAATTACAAATGATCACTGTATATGCAATATTGAGCTTTTTGCCCAAATATGATGTCGTACACGAGCACCTCCAATCACCTGCAACCGAATATTTTCGTAAACGCTCATTATGACAGAAAACCAAAAAAACCAACCGCAGTATATAATGTTATGACATTCCTACCAAGAGCCAGAGTACGCATAATATTCAGATCAAGAAAGTAAACTGCGATTTTACATAATCCGGACGTGTGAAAAATTCATAGCACACTGAGACACTTTCTCTCGTATTTACGGCACTAGAGTGCATGGACGGTGGTCAATTCACGTACCCACCCACCAATCTATAAAGGCGTACGCTGCATTTGTAATCGGCTCACTCTATTGTGTCTAGTTTGTGTGAAAAGAACAGCTATTAGGATATTAACATGAATAATTTATCGGTAAGTTACGCCAAAAATAATTATTTCTAATTTATTTCATTAATTATTTTTATGCTCGGATATTCGTTCCAAATTAGCCTATTTCTTTGTCCAATATAAAAACAAAGTGGAGTCAAATCTTGAAAATAGGGAGATCATTTTTAAGAAATTTTGGAAATAGAGAAAACTTTTTGTCATTGATCTCGCTGTTTTTCTATTTTCTTTCTCAAATATAAGAAACAACGTAAACTCAGATAAAACTTGTTATTATATATAATTATTTTCTACATTTTAGTATTGAAATTTTTCTTTTTTTCTATCTAGAATTAACAATTTGTCCAACTGTTTTCTCCTTCTCAATTACCATTAAAAACTACTAAATCTCTGTAGGCTGTATTATTTTCATAAACATTCCTTGGTTGCATGGCCAATGTAGGTATCCATATCCACTTAGTCTCATTTGATCTCTTTTTAGATATAGTCTCGTTTTTTCACTGTTATGTATAAACTAGTGCTTTTACTCGCCACCATGCTACGGGGATGCAATCAATTGCATCTACACTCCACTTAATTTTTTGTACCTTCCTCCTATTTATGGCTAGGACGACAACAGAATAATATTTTAATCTGTTTTACATCTTTCATAACAAATAAGTCACTTTCGGAGAATCGCTCAACTGGAATAGTTTGGAAATTTATTTGTTGGGAAAGCTCCGATATTTTTTACCGATCACCAAATTCGCAGACAATTTTTTAGGATCAACATTTTCAAAAGAATTAAAACTTAAATTTTTAAAATAACAAACTTGCATGAAAGGGCTAGTCTTTTTACGTTCAGATAAATATCGTCCTATCTGACAGATAATTATCTGAAGGATAGACATTTATTTATAAAATAAAATATACCCGTCTTTTAACGTCAAATTATGTTGCGGTTACATATATGTAAGATAAATGTAAAATTTATTTCTGAACACACCAATATTTGATTAATTGTCAAAAAAATTACAATAATGTTTTAATCTCTTTTGATTATACAATTTGTGGTAACACGAATAAATTAAATTATGTAAAGAAAAATTTAATAACGAATAAAAAGATAATACAGCTTTAATGATTTTTCTTAGGTTTTTCCATAACTCCAAAATATTATATAAGATTAGCTCAAACAACTTCAACTTCAAAAAATTCAGTAATGTCTTCATTTAGCAATTCATCTTCAAAATTGTCTTAATTTTGATCTCTCTCTCTCTCTCTCTCTCTCTCTCTCTCTCTCTCTCTCTCTCTCTCTCTCTACAGTGGGAGATCAAATTATTACGATCACTTCAAAAAAGCATATAAGCGTCTAATGATGTGAATATAATACAAAAATAGATCATAAACACGTTCTTTTAAAAATTTTAAAATATTTTTTTCTTTGACCTACAATAACAATTTTTTTAATATTTTGTGTGACTTCCTTTAGCTTCGATGGCAGCTTTGATCCTCCTGGGCATGCTTTGAATGTTTCTCAGGCAGTGTTCTTTTATTTTATCGTTTCTGTGCCAGATGGCAATGAATCTCTCAATTAACTGCTGCTTTTTGTGACAGTTTCCTGGGAAATTACCCTCTTCATAAGCTGGCATAGATTTTCGATCGGATTGAAGTCTGGGTAATTACCTGGCCACTTCATTACTTTAATTTTTTTTCCACGTACGATGTTACTGTTTTTGCCTTATGGCACGGTGCTGAATCGTGCATAAAGGTAAAATCCTCCGATTCGCCGAACCAGTCTTTGATTTGTGGCATGAGCTTTCTTTACAGAACTTGCAATCTACTATAGAATATACTATATGCAATAGAACACTATGCAATCCTTGTTGATACCCACTTGCCTTCGGACGAAGTTGGTGACGTAATTTACCTTATTCCAATCCCCAATTGCTCAATTTTGGTGTTCTTTGGCTCATTTCAGTCTCTTTTTCATCATTGCGATAGTCAACTTACGATGGTTTTTTGACAGGGCGACATGATTTGAAACCTTGCTCAGAAAGCCTTCTGCGGACTGTCATGTTAGAAACTGGCATCCCAGATTCATGAATAAGTCCCGTGAGGATTTTTCTTGGCTTCTCTCTATTGTTTACGAAGATATCCCTCATTTTTCTTTCGTCTGTGGGTGCAGTGACACGCTTTCGATCACATTTTTGGGCACGCTGGTAAGTCACGGATTTGTTGGTATCAATTTTTTTCCTGGTATTACTTACTGTTGCTTGCGCTACTTAGCTTTATTGAGCTACCTGATGTTGGGAAAGCTTTGTATTCAATAAAAGTGTCTTTATCTCCACTATTTTAGACACAGGGACGTTTTTAGCCTTACCCATTATGATTTTCTTCTCAAAAATCGAAATGTTTTGAAAATGTCTTTAAAATTAAAACTGATGGTTTTTTTCACTCGCAATTGCCACTAATACATTAATAAAACATACTACAAAGATAAAACGATACTAATCTTTCAAAAACAATACAAAAACATAAAAATTTAGTAAATTTGTATTTACTAAATGTAATGTAATGTAATGTAAATGTAAAAAGTAGATAAATTAATTTTCCATCTCTATTCAGGTATTAGGAGTTACTTTAAGTTTACTGTTGTCTTGCCAATGTCAGCGACAATATCAACACCAACAGCCCGCCGCTCAGTACAACCAAGAAGATAATTATAGTTACCAAAGCACGCAGCCACCTCCACAAATTTTATCACACAAACAGGCACTAAACCACGATGGTAATTTTAAATATCTTTTCACATCTGAAAATGGACTGGCACAAGGGGAAAGTATTGCTCCAGACGGTTCAAGAAACGGCGGATACAGGTAAGAATGAGTGTTTTTTTTTCTTTATTGTGGTAATTCAACTTGTGCTTGTTTGTTCTACTCTGTGGGCTTTTTGTTAAAATAGACGAGTCATTTCTCTATATTTTATTTATTACAAGACAAACTAATACTAATACATCTTCTTCTTCAGGTGCCATCTCCGCTACGGAGGTTGGCAATCATCATAGCTATCTTAATTTTTGAGGCAGTAGCTCTAAATAGTTGTTTTGAGCTGCATCCAAACCATTCTCTCAGGTTCTTCAGCCATGAAATTCGTCTTCTTCCGATGCTTCTTCTGCCATCTATTTTTCCTTGCATTATGAGTCGCAGGATGCCATACTTATCGCCCCGCATCACATGTCCGAGATACTGTAGCTTTCTTTCTTTAATTGTAAGTTCAATTTCCTTCTCTTTGCCTATTCTTCTCAGTATTTCATTGTTTGTAACTCTATCTACCCAGGAAACCCTCATAATTCTTCTATAGGTCCACATTTCAAAGGCGTTAAGTCGTCTCATGGTATCTAGATTTAACGTCCATGATTCCACTCCATAATATAGTACACTGTATACGTAACATTTTATTAGGCGTACTTTAAGAGCTAGTGTTAGATCTTTGCCACATAGGACCTTTTTCATTTTTATAAAATTAGAACGTGCTTTTTCGATTCTGACTTTGATTTCTGCCGTGTAGTCATTATTTTCTGTTATAAGTGTTCCTAGGTAAGTGTACTTTTTTACTCTTTTGATCTGCTGGCCCTCTACTATCAAGATTTCGTTAGTATTATAGTTGTTTTTACAAATTTTCATAAACTTCGTCTTTTTGACATTAAGAGAGAGTCCGTACTCCCTACTACACATGACTATTTTGTTCATGAGTCTTTCCAGGTCTTGTAAACTATCGGCTATTATTACTGTATCATCTGCATATCTGATGTTGTTAATTAAGACTCCATTTACTCTTATGCCGACTGTTTCATCTTCCAGAGCTTCTCGAATTACCTCTTTAGAATAGGCGTTAAATAATAGAGGTGATAGAATGCAGCCTTGCCTGACTCCTCTCTTTATTTCCATTTCTTCAGATGTTTCTTTTTCGATTCTTACTATTGCTCGCTGATTGTAATAGAGGTGTGTTATTAGCCTTAAATCTCTTTCATCTAGGTTTTTGTTTTTTAGAATTTCCAGGAGTCGATCATGTTTTACTTTATCAAACGCTTTATTGTAGTCTATAAAACAGACGTAAAGAGGGCGGTTAACATCCAAACATCTCTGTGTCAGCACATTGAAGGAGAATAATGCCTCTCTGGTACCCATACCATTGCGGAACCCATATTGAGTGTCACTAATATCCAGCTCCAGTTTAGAGTGTATTCTGGCGTGGATAATTTTCAAGAGAATTTTCAAGGTATGTGACATTAAGCTTATGGTTCGATAGTCACTACACTCTTTGGCATTCACCTTCTTTGGCAAACACACAAATGCTGATGTCAACATTTCTCTAGGAATGATTCCCGTAGTATAGATAGCGTTGAATAGTTCTACTATTATGTCCAGGTTTTTCTCGTTGACCAACTTTAGTAGCTCGCTTGGTAATTCATCTGGACCAGCAGATTTATTGGTTTTCATTGAGTTTAATGCCTGACTAACCTCTGATTTGGATATCTCTGGACCCATATCTCCCGTTTGGCTATCTACAGATGTACTAGCTTCTCTCTGGTCATGAAATAATTCTTCGATGTACTCTTTCCATCGTCGTAGTTTTTGTTCTGTTTCCAATATAATATTTCCATTTTTGTCGAGCAATATATTTGAGGTTCTTCTATTTCCTACTCCGGCTAGTTCTTTGACTTTTTTATGTAGGTTGAAGTTGTCATATCTGTTTTGAAGTTCTTCTATTTCTTTAAATTTTTCAGAGAAGTAGGTCTCTTTAGCCTCCCTAATTTTTCTTCTTATTTGGTTTTGAAGTTGTTTATAGCGCGTCTTATTGATGGTTTTTTTTTTTGTCCTTTCATTCATCAACTCTAGAATTTCCTCTGTCATCCATTCTTCTTTCTTATATTTAGTTGTTGTAAGTAGTTTCTTACTTGGCTCCAATATAGAGGTTTTGAAGAATTGCCACTGCTGCTCTACGTTGCAGTTATTTCCTGGGTTTCTGTCTAGATTTGTGTTGATTTCGTGTTTCAGATTTTCTTTTGTTTCTTCTGACTTTAGTTTCTGTATGTTAAGTTTATTGTTATTGCGGCTTTTTTGTGTCTTTTTTAGTTGAAGTTGAAATCTAGCAATAAGAAGACTATGATCAGAAGATACGTCCGCTCCTGGATATGCCTTTACTGCCTGAATTGAGTTTCGATATCTGTGTTTTATTAGGAAGTAATCAATTTGATTTCTGACGATTTTGTTGTCTTTGTCAGCTGGCGATTTCCATATATAAAGGCGTCGCTTAGGTAATTTGAAGAATGTATTTGCAGCTATAACATTGTGCTCCTGGCAAAATTCTATTAGGCGATCCCCTCTGTCGTTTCGTTCACCAAGCCCATATGGTCCTACATTAGGGTAGCATTTTCCCTCGCCAATTTTTGCGTTGAAATCACCCATGATCACTGTTACGTCTCTAGATGCTGTGAGATGTAATGTTTTTTGAAGTTCGCTATAAAAGTTTTCTATTTCTTCTTCATTTTTGTCAGCAGTTGGTGCATAAATCTGAATTAAATTCATTTTTCCATGGGTTGTCAATAATTGCACCATTATAATTCTTTCAGATATCGGAACGAAGCCTGTTACTGATCTCGTTAGTTTTTCAGTGAGGATCATAGCAACTCCATATCTGTGTTGGGTGTCACTGCTTCCAGAGTAATAAATTTGTCCATTGTCTGTATTGATTTCGCCAGAGCCGACCCATCTTGTATCGCTTATTCCTAATATATCGATCTCTAGTCGCATCATCTCTTGCTGTATATTTCTTAGTTTCCCAGGTTCATACATACTTCTTACATTCCATGTAGCTATTTTGTAAGTGGATTTGTATATATTTAGTGAACAGGGATTTCGCTGACTAACGGCCTGGGAAGCCCTGTCGTTACTGCTGTTTCTTCCCCTGCCGAATCTTGGCATTCGAGAACCATGATTAGTAGGTTGTTGATTGTCATTTTTATTAGCCATGACGATTTCTAGGGATACTCCAAGAGTCTTTAATGCAGTGGTTTCCCGTTGCCTTCTGCATTCTTATGCCGTTGGCCGTTATACATAATTATCTCTAAAGAGCCATAAGACCAGTTTCTTGGTCGTCAATGTCTGTCCTTCCTTTTCACTCCCGGGGTTCTTCTTCTAGTTGACATGTCACTAATGTTAAGGTAGGTTTACAAATATTAAGATAGATTTACAACTTAACACCACATGACATACCCCTTTTTTTAAACAAAAAAACTAAACTATACAAACACATTAAATATACTTGCAATATTACATTGCCACATTAATATTCTGAAAATGAAAACCTTTTTTTCCTATTTACTATTCTACCACTCCTAGTGCAAAATAGATTATTTACATTATATGTCTGTGTGACCTATTTAAGCTAACATTTGAATTGTTATTACTTTGAAATGAAATTAATGTATTCTTGTTCATATTTGGAGCCTCATGCCAAATGAAACCAGCTGCTGTACCGTAAATAAGAGTTACTTTGGCCCTGGGGTCCTACTTTGGCCCAAATTAAAAATAAAATAAAACGTTTTTAAAGTATCTCGAGAGAGTAGATTTTAAGCCGATGTCGGTAGTTTCCGATGAAGTGCAGACCTGCGCAACTCATAACGACTTCAAATGTTTCACGTTTCGCCTCCTAGAACCTAGAACCAGCATGAGTGCTTTTGATGTTGTATGTGCAACAAGTGATTTTTTAAAGTCTCAAACTTTTACCTGCAAAAACCGTTTTACGCCTGTTATAATAGAATAGAATAGAATAGAAATATGCTTTATTGTCACTGAAAATTATGAACAATTTTATGGACAAAGCTAAAAAATAAATCAGTCAAATAATACATACAATAATACAAGTATAAAACAAAAACAATATAGTAAAAAACAGAATAACACAATTTTAAATTAGTAAAATTATTGTATAACCTACATAATTTGTACAGACAACAACAAATGAGACAAATTGTAGCCACTGCTTGAAACACCCAAATGTAATTATAAACAATACTAATTTTGTTTCTTTGTTATACATTAAGAAACTCGTCAACTGAGTAATATGGTCTTTCTGAGAGATAGATTTTTGTCACCTTACGAAACTTAATGAAGGATGTTGCGGATTTAATTTCTCTTGGAAGGTGATTATAAAGTTTCTTTGCACGATATAGAATAGAATTCTTTACTAGCTGAGTGGACGGGATCGGCAAATAAACGTTACAATCCGAATTTCTAATGGAGTAGCCATGGTCAGGTCTATCGGGAAAAATGTTTAGATGCTTTCGAATCAAACAAACCGTTTCCAAAATAAATAAAGAGGGAAGCGTCAAAATTCCGTGATTTTTGAAGTAGGTCTTGCAATGAGTTGTTTGTTTGAGACCAAATAGATAACGGATTGCTCTTTTTTGCAACTTAAAAATAGTATCAAATTGGGCCGCTGTACTAGAACCCCAAAATGGAAGCCCATATCGAAGATGGGACTCTAACAATGAGAAATATGCCATTTTGGCAGAAGATAAATTTAGTTCCTTCGAAACAGATCTTATTGCAAAGCAAGCTGAGGCTAGTTTCTTCCTTAAGGAGTCAGTATGCAAGGACCATTTGAGATCACTGTCAATGAGAATACCTAGAAATTTCACGGAATTTACGATATTGATTTGGCTCTCATTCAAAAGCAAGGGTTGCATGACTCCTTTATAAGATAATGCTACAGTCTTATCCACGTTAAAGCTAAGTAAGTTGGAGTCTGACCAAGCCTTGATTATAAGTAAATCATCGGTTATAATTGAATGAAGCGTTGAAATATCAGAGCTGCTCCATGTAATACTGGTATCATCAGCAAATAGAAAAATTTTCCCTTTAATTTTCAAGTAAGTGATGTCATTAATGAAAAGTAAAAAAAGAATGGGACCTAATACTAAACCTTGCGGTACTCCACACTCAATATCTTTACAACTAGAGTCGGTGTCATTTATTCTAACCAATTGTTTCCTACCTACCAAGTAAGTTTTGAACCAGTTCAAAGACACACCCCGAATTCCATAGAAAGTTAATTTTTTTAATAGAATGTCGTGATTTACGCAGTCAAAGGCTTTGGAATAGTCGCAGAAAACGGTGGCGGAGGAGAGGTTACTGTTTAGTGATAGATATACATCATGTAACACAGAAAATATGGCATCACTAGTGCATTTATTAGACAAAAAGACGAACAAATATTGGTAAGTACTTTTTTAACATTAGAATTTAATACATAATGCAGTGAAATGGCTATAATTTGCATTATTTTTAGCTTTTTTTATTTTAAAATTCAATAATAAAACCAGTTCAAATAACCTCAAAAATATGACCTTCTTTGGCCCAACGTATATTTGGGCCAAAGTAGGTCTGACGTTTATTTTATTTATTTATTTTTAATTATTACCTACCTACTGTTATAAATCAGCATTCTGGGTGTTGTTCTGTTGAATAAATTTATTTTTAGATTACGGAAGATACCCTATAACTACAAACGCCAACCAGGAAGCCGAAGTTATGCCGACTACAGTCAAGATCATCTCCAAACCTGTTTAGAAGCAATCAGATCTGGTGAAATGACACAAAGGCAAGCCGCAGATATTTTTAAAATACCACGAAGCACTATTAAAAACAAACTAAAAAATCTTTTTTCGAGCTCACCGGGTCATCCCAAAGCTTTTACTCAGGAAGAAGAGTTAGCATTTGCTAGTCACATCGATAAAATGTGTGAATTCGGATTTCCAATTGATGAACTGGATTTGAGATATATTGTAAAAAGTTATGTCACAAGACAAGAAAAGACAATACAGTGTTTGCAATAATTTGCCTGGCCGAGACTGGACCAAATCTTTCTCAAAAAGACATCCTCAGCTGACAGTCAGGTTTGCATCAAATATAAAAAGAAATCGTGCTCAGATTGATAGAAAAATAATCTCAAAATACTTCGATCACTTAAAAGAAGTAGTTGAGAATGTACCGCCTCAGAACATTTATAACTATGACGAAACATGTATGTCTGATGATCCAGGCAGAAAGAAAGTAATCTGTCGTAGGGGTTCAAAGTACCCAGAGCGTCATGAATTCGACTAAGTCCAACATTAGCGTTATGTTTTGTGGTAATACCAATGGTACTTCTGTGCCACCTTATATTATTTATAAGGCTGAACATTTGTGGACCACATGGTTGGAAGGTGTCCCCGAAGAAGCGCATTATAACAGGATAAAACAAGGTTGGATCGATGGAGCAACATTTGAAGATTGGTTTGCTACACATCTTCTTCCAATCTTAAAAAAACAAGAAGGTAAAAAAGTAGTTATCGGTGATAATCTTAGTTCACATGTAAGCTTAAACGTGGTCAGTGTTTGTGAAGAGAACATTATCCAATTCGTATGCTTGCCTCCAAACTCCTCACACCTAACACAACCACTTGATATGGCCTATTTTAGGCCTCTCAAAAGTAAGTGGCGACAGATTCTTACCGAATGGAAACATTCTGATAGTGGCAAAACTGTTGCTACATTCAGAGCTTCATCAAAAGGAAAACTTAAAGTCTGGTTTTAAAAAGGCCGGCATACATCCCTTAGACAAAGAAGAAGTATTGAAGCGCTTGCCTTCTAACAATGTGGCAGTTAATTTGGAATTGGTAGGGCAAACATTCATCCGCCATTTGGAACAGAAAAGGCAAGAAGTTGTTAAACCTCGATTAATAAAACGAAAAAAAATAGACGTTCCTGCTGGTAAAAGCATAACAGCTAACGATATTATTCAGTATCAAGAACACCATATAAATCAAAAAGGTCAAAAGAAGAAAGAAAAGAAGATGGAAAACGAGAAGAAAAAAGAAGAAAGAGAAAGGGAAAAAGTAGAAAAAAAGCGACAGGCGGTTTTAGAAAAGAAACAAGAAGTTAAGAAACAAAAGAGAAAAATTAATAAAAAAGACATGGAACTTTCGAATTCGGAAGAAGATAGTGACCATTACAGCGTCGTTTCATCCGGTCATAGTGACATGATTCTTTCAACGGACGAAGAAGAGGAAATTAACACAGTCAGTGTTCTCCAGGAAAATCACCCAAATGTCGATCTAGTTGCATCTTCTTTCAGTGACATAAAACCCCAGGAGCAAAACGAAGAAGAAGAATTAAAGTCAAATCTGCAAACAGGAAACTTCGTTGTTGTTGAATGGAATAAGCTACAGTTCCCTGGGATAGCTGTTAATGTGTCAGAAGAAGGTGCTGTTGTTGAATGCATGGAACGTACCAACAAGTGTTGGAAGTGGCCAAAAGAAAAGGACTCTTTGTTTTACAAATGGAGCGCTATTAAGAAAAAAAAATCCAACCTCCAAAACAGTTAAAAAGAGGACTATTTTCCGTCAGTCATTTGTAAAAAATATTAATTATTTGCTGAAGCTTTATTTTTGTACCTTTTTTAAAAAACATAATTCGAAATATATTTTTCTGTCATATAAATATACTGAATAAATAAACCCATGTCATTCTTTGGCCCTATCTATTTATATAATGCTTTAAAGTAGGTAATATCATATTGGGCCAAAGTAACCCTAAAATAACATAAGGATAACATTGGCCCGGGTGAAAAATTTAAAACAGTTATTTATTTTTTTAAAAAACACTAAAATGCTTTATGCATGTTATTTAAGATAGTTTAATTATGTAAAATAGGTGAACACAGCTTAGTCACAGTGTAGTGCTTTAAAAAGAATCTCTTAAAGCACTATACTGTGGCTTAGTAGTAGAAAAATGCTAAGATTTATTGAGAGTTGATTTAAAAGGTTTTAATAAATGGGCCAAAGTAGCCCGAGTTTACGGTACTATTTTCACTTCAATATCACAGTAGCTGGTAACCACGGTAATAATGGAAACTTTTTATAAAATACATTTTCTCCAACAAACAGACTTGGTAGGTTTCTTGCTGACCTATCGTGATATTATTTTACTTTCCTTTCTTTTTCCTTAACAAATTTGTTATATTCATCCCTATCAATTGTTTTTGGTATGAGTACATTTTCATAAAACAGGTAATTTTTTTTAAATTAATTGATATTAATAATTGAGCTGGAGAATAACCACATTCTAATGTTATATTTCTGTATTGCAACATTCCCTGATAAGGATCAAAGCCTAACTCTATACAGTTATTAAAAATATTCTTGACAGTCTGAACTCTTCTTTTTACCAAACCATTACTTATTTTATAATAAGGACTAGAACTTTGATAAGTAATATAGCAATCTACTAAAAATGACTGAAATTCTTTTGATGAGAGTGAAGGACCAATATCAGACATTAAGATCAATGGTATTCCATGTCTCACAATTATTCGTATTCCATTACCTCTTAAAGGCATTATTTCAAAACATGTAGAATAGCAATCTACTAATAAAATATATGTCACTTTACTATAATAGGTATTTAGTATAAGTCGGTATTTCATTTCACTGTTCAATTTTATTCTTTATATCTACTGTCATTCCTGACCAAAAAACCATTGTACGTGTTTGCTGAATACATTTTTCGTATCCTAAATGACCTTCATGAATTATTTCCAATATGACTTGACGTAATGACTCAGGAATTATTATTTGGTTTCCTTTAAAGACTAGTCCATCCACAACACGTATTTCATGATTAAAATTATAATATAGTTTAATTTCTGTTCCCAATTTATTTTTCGAACTTGGTCAACCTTCATTATAATATTTTATTATTGACTGTAAAACTATATCAGTTTTTGTTGCCGCCTGTATTTCCATTAATTTCTTTGAAGACACAGCTAAATTGTTAACTAATAAACTTTCATGTATACGTAACTCTTCATCTCCACTATCAGTATTATCTGGACCTTCTACTGGTCTCCGATGTATCTGCGATGAAAAGAAATTTTCCTGGAGCATAGCTAACTTCTAAATCATAAAGCTGTAAGTTTAGCATCATTCTTTGCAAACGTGCTGGAACCTCAGATAATGGTTTTTTAAAGACTGTCTAATGGTTTATCATATGTTTCAACTTCTACTTTCTACCATATACATATTATTTAAATCTAGTATATCCGAAATGGATTGCATATAACTCTTCCTCTATTTGTGCGTAATTTCACTGAAACTATGACAAAGATTTAGATGCATATGCTATAGGTTTTTTGTTTTGTAAAATCACTGTACCAACTGCAAACTTTGAACTATCAACTGATAATGTTAATGGTAGATTGTTATTAATATATGCTAATATTGGCGTTGGACTAATCATTCCTTTAAGCGCCTCAAATTGAAAAAAAAAATTTTAAAAAATTCACGGTTTTTATAGTTTATGTTTTCATAACCAGAATTGAGTTTTGATCGATCTGAGTAGATCTCAACGTTTCGCTAACTTCGTAGGTAGTCTTTAGCTTCTAGCTTCTTCAGAAATAATCAAAGGTTACTATTCAAGTAAAATGTTCTTAGAGATCACCATTAGAAGTCGGGGATGAACATTCTCTCAGTAAATTAAATATTTCATGTATCCAAATATGAAACAAAGTTAATACGGGAATTTCTTCTCTTCATGGGTCAAACATATATTTTGTTAAAAATTATCATTATTACCATACTTTTTTTTTAGTTATGTCGATCCCAACGGCAAGAAGATCTCAGTAAAGTATACAGCTGGAAAAGAAGGCTTCAGAATCCTCGAAGCTGATCATTTACCAAAAGCACCACAGCCTGTCGCTCCACTACCGGTACCTGTTCAGCAACCCGCATACCAACCTCAGTACCAACAACAACCTCAACAATACCAACCAAGAGCATATCCTCAATACAATAGACAAGAAGATGATGGTCAATACAGGCCAGAGTTGTACGAAAGGCCTCAACAACAGGTAAATATAGTTTTTTATTCTTCTTTCTTTTATTTTTGATTTTTTAATATAAATTTCATTATTGTATGTTTTATAATGGCTACTTTCATATTAGGACCATTTTATGGTTAGAACTTAGTGTGGAATGGTGCAAAAATATAAAGAAATGAGAAAAACAAAATAAAGTCAAAAAGAAATAATTGGTTTGATATTATAAAGTTAAGCGAAGTGAAAATGAAAAGAAAGTATATTAATGAAATAAATAAAGGGCTATTACCCCATAAATACGAAGAGAAGCTAGGAATAGAGCAAGTGTGGCAAGTTACAAGAGAGGTGATAATTATTGTAAATGATAAAATTATTTTACAAACAAGTCAAATGAAAGCAGGGAAAAATTGGTTTAGTTTTCTAGTTTATTTTATTATACAAAAGATATATTACATCTTTAAATCTTACTTTATCAAACGCCTTCTTTAAGTCCATCTAACATAGAAATGTGCGTCTATTGTATTCTAATAACACACCACACACCACCAATGCAACCAAAGTGCAGTATTATCCCACATCAGCTTGCATTTTTCTGTATAGGCAAGGATTTCTACTGTAAGAACTGCTCTATAAGCCAACGTATTGTTGCCCATATCCCATCACAAGAAGGGACGAACTTTATTTGAGGTACTAGCTTTATGCGAGGCAACACATATAATTACAAATGCCATATAAAGGTTTTATAGATAACTCAAAGTTTTGGGATCATCCCATTCTGGTTAGATTTACAGTTTCTGGTGTGACTTTGCTGTGACCTCTACTTTTCTCCATTCCAAATCTTCTTTCACTTGTCTTCATCTCAGTTTGGGTCTGCCTCTGGTTCTTTTACCTAGTGATATCCATTCCATTATAACTCTTAACAGATTGCTCTTCTCTCTTCTCATTATGCGTCTATATCACCTGATTTTCTGTGCTTTTTATTGCTCTAAACTATGTTCTCTTGACCCATCCAATGTTTTTTGTAATTCATCCATTGTCCTGCATCTTCTTCGTTTTTCCTCTTTCGTTCCAGTATTTTTCTCAAAATGTTTCTTTAAACACTCTCAGTTTGCGCTTCTTCTCTGGCTGTTAATGTAAATGCCTCTGTTCTTTATGTTAAACTATCAAAAAATGTTACTACTAAAAATATTTCTACTGTAACTTTTGTTTCAGCTTATTCAACTACCCTCTCATCAAAGGGCTTCCTATCCAGCACCTTTGGCTGTCTCTCCCACACCCAGTTCGAACGCTTTAGAAGAAAAAGACTATTTCGACGAGCCTGGCAAGGCACACAGTTTCGGAAGTGGATATATATTTGAGTTCGGTGGGTAGATGTTATTTATATTTAGGATATTAGTATTATTTTTACAATTTGTGTGATGGTTGTGAGGTGTATGTTACTATTACGAAATAAATTTTTTTAATATATGTTTCGTTTTTTTTTTTAAGTAGTGGTAAGTAATTTATAAGTTAATAACAAAATTGTATGTCAAACCCTAAAATATATTAGAAAGAGCAGATTAAAAAGCACTATTACAAGAAACTTATTTACCAGACCTTAACTAAGAAAAAACTAAAATCATAGAGATAAGACGTAAACAAGTACAAATAGAAAAAAAGTCCAAAAGATTCCAAATACACCTAACGTATCTTGACGTAATATATTTTGACCTAACCTGTGATGACTTGTTCTCGTTCTACGGTTCCATGTCTGCTGAGGAAACCAAATTGGATTAAGTTTCACTCTAAAACGATCGGCTCCAACCGTTTTATGAGAAGTTTTTAAAATACCATAAGTCTTCTTGGATAGAAAACTTATAGGCTTGTAGGAAGCCAACTCATTGGGACATTTTCCAGATTATAGTCTTCTTTTGTTTCTTCCTTAACTTTTTAGTTTTTAAAAGTCGCTGTTATTTACTCTTCTTCTCGCCACTCATTTCTGTCCATTAAGTATTCTTCACCTAAACTGTTCTTTCAAGTATTCTGCCATACAGTCCTTCCATCTTCTTCTCGCTTTTCCTGTACTTACCTCTTATTCCATCAATTTCTAACAGCTGTATCCTTTGTCCTCAGGAAGCAATCAGGAAGCCATTTCTCCCTCATTCATCTTCATAGTTCTTTTCTAGGGACTGTGACGTACGCCTTGATCTATAAATACCAAATGCAGCTCTCTTTTCTTCTCGCCGTACTTCTCTACCAACTGTCTCAAAGCAAACAAGGCATCTGTTGTCCTCCTCCCTGGCATAAATAAGAGCGTAGGCGCAAAATTTCGGGCCAATGCTTTTAGATGCATTAATTTTTTTCCAATCCTGAGAAAAACTATTAAATATTATTGAAGAATTTAAAAGCATAATGAAAAATTACATTATATTACTGAGGGCCGAAAGTCCCTTAAAATAAGCAAATAGTTTTTTTTAATGAGACATTTGAAATTAAAAATCACATTTGATTTTATCTTCTTTTTTCATTCTGCATTCAATTTTTTTTAAAAATACTTAATTAGTTTTCTCAGAATTCGAAAAAAAATGAATGCATTTAAATAGCATTGGCCCAAAATTTTGTGCCTACGCTCTTATTGATGATTTGGCCTTTGCTTTAGCAATGCTGTATAACCTACAACTTTACTGTTGCCGTCCCACCAGTCATTAACCATTTATTTGATATTATTTTGTTTTTCAGTGACTAAGTGTTTCGCTAATTTTGTCCAAGAATATTAGTATTTTTTATTAACAGATATAATATCTCTATGGAATGTTTTTTAAAGGTTACAAAAATATCGTCTGATAGCTAATGTTTACAAATCTCTCGGTAGACAGATAGGTACAAATCAACGTTTTACACAATATTAATTAGAATCCGTCTGAGGTATAATTGATCAAAAAATTCCAAAGCCAACTTATCTAATCTTCCTTAAAGAATGATGAAAACATGAATCCTCATCAAAGGTGAAACCTTTTTAAGAATTATTATTTACTTCAGATTAGAAGCTTTGAATTAAAAGACAGATTAAAAATATATGCATTAAAATTCCGAATAAAATACTTGCCACTAGCATTACATTACCAGTTGCTAAGAAAAATATATTCTTCTTTTTCCTTTATATAAGAAATTTTGCTGGTTCATTGGTGGGTTGTTGTCTTCGATTATGTTTTCCCATCTAAAGGCCAATTCTCGTAGAATTTTCCAAATCTTATACCCTATCTCAGGCTTCCTAAACTTATTTGTACTGTGACGCCCTTGGGACTTTGCTATTTTTTTGCTACGCCCCCTCAACCCAATCCCCAATAATACTTACCAATTTTAGTACTAACCTAGTAACAGGTTATAGTTATAACAAGAACACTATTTGAATATTTATATTTTTATTAGAAATTAAGAACGAAATCAAAACATAGGCACAAAAATGAAAAGGGATTTTATTTATGTATCTGGCTGGTTAATGTAAGCGATGTGCTTGCTTTTTTGAGCACAGCTTATGAAACCTGGGCTTCAGTTTGGAAATTGTCACTCACATTTCTTTTGCTAAGTAATGTTAATGTTTGACCCGTACTTATTTTTAATTACTGCAATTGCAAAAAGCCCGTTTCGCACAAGTACGAAGTCGCAAATGGTAATAAAACCTTTAATGCAGCAGTGCTGATGGAATGATATTCATGAGAAAGTAAACTCCAAAATTCAAACTGTTTGTCCTTGTCGTAGGCTGGAATCACAGGACAATTCTGTCAGTTGTTTTTCTTCATCTGTTGAAAGTGTCGATGGCGTGGATGACAGGAAAGGGTTTCTAACCCAGTCTTATTGCTTTATATCTTCGGGCAAATATTTTTCAAAGTATTTAAAGCTTTCATTGATAACTTGTGGTGTGTAAATATATTTTTTAAAAAGAGATCAAGGATTTCTATTAATTTTTCTTGTAAAATACCTTGTAAAACAGGGAAACAGTCAATTTCTTGATCTTCTAATTTCCTCTTCCATAAGAGCAACTTCTTCTGAAACCCAGTAATTTTATCTGCCAATTTCAGGATATGAGTATTGTTTCCCTGTAAACTGTGTCCACTGAGATATGCAAATTTTATTATAAACTCTGAATTCATAAAAGTATTCACATCAGTATCTAGACACGTGTAAGTTTCATTTGTTAATTCGTATACATGTGCGAGTATATTGCCTTTGGACAGCCAACGAGAGTTACACTTGATTTAACAGGTCGTTTTTTAATGTTGTTTACCACTTTAATAATGCTATCCATCACAACACTTAATTCAGGCGTAACGTTCTTTGCTGCTACGGTCTCTATCTATATGACACAATGTGTCTATTTTCCACTTGGAGCCTTCGTTTGGATAAGAGCTTGAAGTCCTTCATACTGTCCAGACATCGCTCAGGCACCAACCGTAAACACGCCTACACAGTTATCCCAGTTAAAATTATTTTGTCATATATGAGTTTAAAATTTCGATTAAATCAGTAGTTTTACAACTTTCACATATTTTTCTGCAAAATAACAAATCCTCACATATATTTGTTTCTTGTATGTAGCGTACATAACATATCAATTGAGCATCATCATTTCTATCAGTCGCCTTGTCCAGTTGAATGGCAAATAAACCTGAAAGTTTCCTCATAATTTGCTCATTAATATCTTCTGCCATGTCGACTAACCGTATTGTTTGAAAGAGGTACATTTTTTATTTTTTTAGTTGCCGATTCTCTAATCATCACTGTTACCATATCAACCGTTGCAGGTAAGATCAGTTCCTCAGCGATCGTATATGGTTTTTTTACATTTGGCAACACGGTAAGCTACCATGTAAGAGGCGAGCAATGCTTTGGTAGGAATTGATGATCTTGAAAACAAAGCCTTGGTCTGATGTTTTAGCTCTCGCAATTTTCTTACAAAAAGTCTTTTGGCTTACCTTGTAAATGGCTGTGAGTTGATTCCAAATGCTGTTTTAGTTTATTAGGAAGCATACTTTCAGCTGCCAACACTTTGTGACAAACAACACATTGTGGAAGTTGTACATTCCCTTTAGTAACGCAGGTAAATCCAAATATTGGTCGTCATATTCTATATTTCTTCTTTTTACTTAAATTAACATTACTGCTCTCATCTGATTCTTCACTTCGTTTTTTATTCTATTCTACTATCTATCTATAACAAAAACTTGACTAAATGGTTTGGCTTATCGAAACAGATCACAGATAAATTACACCGGGTGGAAGTGTGCTATGGAAACAGATTGCGCCCGGTGCTCACGTAACTCAGTGTTGCCAATGTCCGGATAATTATCCGATTTTCGGATAAGTTCGTAGACCATCGGATAATTTTTGGATTGAACATTTTTGAAGTTATACTTCTATACGCGCGCTCGACGTTGGAAATTTGTACGGGAGTGAATCTGTGAAACCATTACATATGTAAGATATTGAGTAAGAGAGAGAAAGAAGATATATGTTCTCTCTCTTTCTCTCTCGAGAATAAAAATGTTCCTTTTGTATATATATTTAATATTATATATATATATTCATATATATATATATATATATATTATATATATATATATATATATATACAATACATACTGGATATTAGACTGTCGATTTAAACAAATAACGAAGTTTATTAGGGCTGCAGTCAGAAGTTTGGCCGGGATGTTACAGAAACACTCTTTTGACTTTTGGTCTAGCTTTCGGAATTGTTTAATTCCTTTTTTAAGACACTGTAATTAGAAAAATGTGTAAATATTTATAATATATCACAAAATGTCAGTGCAACTTACTAGTCGTTGAGATTATTTGTATAAAGCTATGACACTCAACATTAATAACACACATATAAATATAACATATAAAATAATGGACAAAATACATTTTAAAATTTAGTTAAAGACAGTAAAAATTCGTTTGTGACGTCTTTTAATGGTGTGTTTTAACCATCGGGCAAAAAGACAAAAGAGGGAATGTAAAGGTAGTGGGGGCAAAAATATTGTTAGACAGGAAGTGCGATCTTTAGAGGCCACATTAAACAAGGAAAGAGACTCTCTCTCCTTGTTTGACAGCAAATTTAGTTGGGTTATGTTATTGTTTGTCCCAAATGTCACATGAAATCTTATTTGTATTGAACAATTGTGTCGCATTTTAGAATATTACCGTTAATAATTAATTAAAACTTTCTCGTCTAAGACACATTCTGAAAAATATTATATAGCTACTGTTAATAAGTGTCGAAAACCACTTTTTTGGTCTCCTTTTCATAAGGATTAGATTCCCTCTTTTGTCTTTTTGCTCGATGGTTTTAACTGATCATGTGATTATTTAAAAATTAGT